AAGGAAAGGCTGATATAAGGATGAAAAAGGATGCGTTTGCAAGCAAAACTGAACTCCAGTAAGAAAAACCTATGCACTCACAACGAGAGGCCGACCTTAATTCTTCGAAAACGATGCCGGTACGCTGTTGCTATAGTCTTAACATGGTAATGAACATTATATGGTCTAAATTAGACGACACGGACACGGAAAATATGTGGTTTCAACAGAACCGTGGTACTGGTCACACAGCGTATGAAACAATCGCCCAATTGCGAACATCTGCAGTCTTATTGAATCACCCTATATTTTCTATATTTTGAGAAAATTTATTTCTGACCTGGTGCCAAATAATACAAATTTCGCATGGTTTTTGCTCTCTACACGCAAAAGTTTCACACCCGTATTAAAAAATCATGTTTAGTCAAGTGACAGGCAAATACAATCAGCATGATAGTAAACATAACATATCCATGACAATTGCGTAATTACTGAAGTAATGTTGAAACAAGTTGGACAAATATGGACTCTCAAAGTCAAGTGCTCATTAACTAAAGCACCACGAAAAGAGATTATCTAACAATTAGCAAGCAGTGACCAATCGAGGCTATGAAACAAAAATCAGTGGCACACAATAATACAATAAGTATCCAATTTGAAAAAATTAAATAAATAAATAAAGATAGCTGTGACACTAGAAAAAAACTAAATAAATAAAAAAGCTAGGCTTGGCACCAAAAAAAAGCATAGCGCAAAGCAACAAGCGGATAAGTAAAAGTAAATATATTACAAGCGCTGCCGTGATTTTGGAGACAACGCACGCTTACTTTCGCCACTTAACGTGCCGAATCACGCGCGCCGCACTGCTGACCAGCTGTTTTGATTACCTGGTCGATTGACGCGTCAATTGCTCAGCTGCGAAGTGTCCAAACATATTCGCATACGTCCGTATGAATGTGTCGTCGATAAACGTTCAGCTCAAGGCAATGGAGCAGCTTGTTAACTCGCCACGATAGGCACACGCTTCACCGAATTGCCCCGCTTATAAGCGAATTAGCAAAGTTATTTGCAAAAGAAGCGTGACGCGTCTGACAACTCGCAATGGCCCACTTCAGTGCTGGTGCCATAACGTCACACAGGCAGCGAAATGGGCTCGCCGAATGGCTACCGGGTGCGCTTCACCGCTGCGCCATGGTCAGTCAACGTTCGGCCGTGGAGGAATGCGCGAGTGTCCGAGACAACAGTAAATGATCAGTTGTTTAAGTGTAAAAGTGCTAACATAGAGTTCCGTGCGACCAGACAAAGGTTCAAGACGAAATGCATACCAAAAACCTACTCTACGCCTTGCTGTTAGCGGGCACCCTTATCGCGTTTCGTCCACCTGCAACGCAAGCTGCATACGAAGTGAACTTCCTGCATTTTAAAAGTGAACCAGCTGTGATTTTACGACAATCGCAGAATACCTTCATACAATGGGTGCTATCACTGCTGCCCAATCGACCATCTATACTGGGAGGCCCAAGCATCACAACGACTACAGTAGCGCCGGATGTGTTGGTGAGCACAACAGAGTTGCCACCACAACCTCAACCAGCTACCGCCACGCCTGCCGCAGTGACCACCACCACCGCCGAGCCGACGACCCTAGCTACAGCGAGCACTACAACCACCACCACTGCGGTGCCCAGCACTACACCTGCGCCGCCACCGATCATACTCAATCCACCACGCAATTGCACAGAATGCGTCTGCGGCATCGCCAACACACAGAAACGCATTGTTGGCGGACAGGAGACCGAGACGCATCAGTATCCTTGGATGGCTATGCTGCTCTATGGTGGCCGCTTTTACTGCGCTGCTTCGCTCATAAATGATCAGTTCTTGATCACTGCTTCACACTGCGTTTACGGTTTTCGTAAGGAACGCATTAGTGTTCGCCTGCTGGAGCATGATCGCAAAATGTCAAACTTTTTGAAGATCGATCGCAATGTGGTGAATATCACGACTCATCCAAAGTATAATGCGCGTACATATGATAATGATATCGCCATCATACAGTTGGATAAGCCTGTGGAGCTGACAGAGCTATTGCATCCAGTCTGCATGCCTACGCCGGGCAAGTCTTTCAAGGGTGAGACGGCAATTGTGACTGGCTGGGGTGCTATTAAGGTGGGCGGACCAACCGCTGATACGCTGCAGGTGAGTGCTATTTAAAATTAGTGAATCACCAGAGAAATGAGCTACATACTTACTTAGGATAGTTGAGTTACAAAAAGTTGTAGTCAACTTTTGTCATCCAAAGATTTTGTTTTGTACGTTGTTTTCATAAACGTTAGTTTCTTAAATTTATTCCACTTCTGAATATTGGAAAACGAATATAATTTGGAATAGGCATTTTTGACTGTTTTATTGTGCGGCTTTTGAAAACTCACAGCTATCAGCTGATATTAAATTCACTACCCGACATTCGACTATGAGTTTTGCAAAGACTAATAATTATTCACCTTTAAAATTTCCAGTTTCATTGGTGTAACCACCTTGCGTTCCTTAGAGTCCTTATTGGAATTTTTAGAAGCGGTTGTGGTACTAATAAATATTTTATCCTAAACTGAACAACTTATTCTTTCTAGCTAGGTACTTTATTTCACATAGAATGCATCTTATTAGGTTATGGGTTGTAAACCTTTCGGGTGATCCTCTCAGCAATCTGTAAGATGATGAACAATTTTCTGTTTACAGCTACTGCAGCGTTTGTGAAATGCTATCCCGAGCCCGTTGAAGCTCCAATAATATTTTGTTGATCCTCTCTGAATAAATCATATACAGTTCGAGTCATTTTACAATTTTGCCTCGGTCAGTCTAGCCAGGAGATTCGTGATATGGTTCTGTATATACATTCTCCATTTGCCAGGGCATAGGCCAATTCTTCTAAAATACGCTTGCAAGTGACAGGGGAAGTGACTGGGATTTCCGCTTAAATGAAACTTGGCTGTAAATGAAAATGAAAATATCTTTACCAATTTTATCTGTTCCGAGTTACTTACAGCCTCTATAATAGTCAAAACCGTATGCTGGAAGGCTCACCGCAGTCCGATATCCGAAAAAGCAATTTAAGAGAAATCACCTTCCTCCTCATTTTCCCTGCTAGCTCCAAGTCACGAGTAATGGTCTGATTATGGATACTTCGCATAACTTCGCACAACCATTTGTACTAGTGCAATAAAAATGTATCTTAAGAAAATGTGAAGCAAAATCTAAAATCAACAGATCGCTATGTTATTAAAAGTTCTGCTAATCTCTGGATAATGGAATACATACAAAATACTTACAAAGTACATTCGAAATTACAGTTTGAAGTTTATGCGAAGTTGTGCGAAGTTATGCGAAGTATGCATAATCAGATCATTACTCTGAAAACTGTAAGACTACTAGGCTGAGTACAGAAGTTTCCCTCACTAACCAGCCTGTAAAATATTCAAAGTTTATTGTTACAAAGGGCATCTCTATCTCCTGACTCACCGGTGCACATACACAGCGGATACATATTTTTTAAACTGCCCTTGCAAAAATACTAGACCATTCAGAAACCAGAGCTACGTTTCTATAAATAAAGCATGTATACTTTAAATCAATGAAAGAGATTAAAGCTTTGTATATTAGGTGTCCCGCCATGCTATATATTACGTGGTGCCACGTCTTGGATGTTGAGTAGAGGATAAAGGTTCGGTGTAGGCTTCTTTGTTGAGGATTTGGTTTGAAGTGAAACTCCACAAAGTGAATTGAAAAACCTTCACAAAAAAAAATGTGACACATGAGACGCAATGTCTTTCTTCCTTCTCTTCGTGTTCTCTTTGAATATTAGAGGGTGTATTAAGCCAGCACCGTCGTTTCACTTTCAATTACACTAACTTTATGATCAGTTATATTTCTCTTGATTCTAAAAATTATTTCAATATGCAATTGTTCGTAAATATTTTCTCTATTTCTTCTCTACAGGAAGTTCAAGTGCCCATTATGTCGCAAGAGGACTGTCGTAAATCACGCTATGGCCCAACACGCATCACAGACAACATGCTCTGCGCTGGATTCGATGAGGGCAAGAAGGACTCCTGCCAGGGAGATAGTGGAGGACCGCTGCATGTTGTGGCGCCAGGTACCCGAGAACATCAAATTGCCGGCGTGGTGTCTTGGGGCGAGGGATGTGCCAAGGCTGGCTTTCCAGGCGTTTACGCACGCGTTAATCGCTATGGCAGTTGGATTAAGACGGTGACAAGAAATGCTTGCCTCTGCCATTCGGAGACGAAGAAGATAAAGAAACTTTAAGGGGGAAGGAAGCGGGACAAAAACGTGAATGATTTGGATAGTTTGTGCAGCGCAAAGAAAGCGGCTTGTGGGTGGGGCGGTTATACTACTTGTATTTTTATGTAGGTCAGCTTAGCTGTAGTTTGTGTAGGCCTAGGCTAGTTTTCGCATTTTTTGCTTATTTGTTTTATTTATTTATTTATTACTTTTAATAAACAGCATGAATTATAATTGCGACTTTCAAATGAAGCCGGATTTCGCAAAGCCGATTTTTTGTTTCGTTTTGACCAATTTGGGAGCTTTCCCTCCAGCTGTGACTTGTATTCGGTGCTACTTTTTTATTTTTATGAATATTGCCGCTCTAAATGCGCTTCGTTGTGCTGTTGTTGTTGTTGCTTGTCCATCACGGCACGCATGAATTGGCCCACTGCACCCAACTTGCATAGCAATTAATACCAACGGCAGCCAGTTTTATTTGAGAAAGTTGTTTGAAATGCAGTCGCTGTTGATGGCGGAGGATCTGCATGGCCATCGGACGATTTCTCAACTAACAGGCTGCACCTAAACCAGCTGGCCAAGTGGCTTAAAAGAAATTGCTTTTCAGCACAGTTCACCTCATTGACTTCTGCTCACATCGCTGGCAATCAGTTGCTGCACTCTGCTGCATCTTAACGGTTCATAACGGTGAATTTTGCTAGCTCATAATTTTTGCGGCAAATATGGCTAAACAACTCTGCTTGCTTGCCGCACTAGTATGTGCGCTAACTGCAACGCAGCTGGCCATCGCTTCAGATGTACCACCGACCGATGCAACACCAACCGCCTTGCGGCAGGATAATTTCATCGAATGGATCACTTCAATACTGCGTCCGACCACCACAACATCCAAACCCAACGTACTGGCAACAACTACACCCACCACACCAAACCGCAACTGCGCATCCTGCAGCTGCGGCACCATCAACAAGTTCCACCGCATTGTAGGCGGCATGGAAACCGAGGTAAATGAATATCCTTGGATGGCAATGTTGATGCGGCGCGGTGACTTCTACTGTGGTGGTACGCTGATCAACGATCAATATGTGCTGACCGCAGCGCATTGTGTGCGGGGCTTTAATAGGCGCATCGTCTCCGTGCGTCTACTCTCACACAACCGCACCGATGGGCGTGTGAACACAATTGATCGCCAGCTGGATTCGATTATAGTACACAATGGTTATAGTGGCAGGAATTTGGACAATGACATCGCACTATTGCGTTTCACCGAACCACTTAAGTTGCGCGAGCCGTTGCGGCCGGTTTGTCTCGCTGAGGCTGGCAAGACATACGAGGGCGAAATGGCTGTAGTCACTGGCTGGGGTGCGGTGAAGGAGGGCGGCTTCATCGCGGATCGCTTGCAGGTAAGCTGACGATTGGGTGAAACAGCTGACCAGACCTAATTTTCGTATCTTTCAGGAAGTGCAAGTGCCCGTCATGTCGCAGGAGACCTGCCGCAAGAGCAAATATGGCGCCGATCGTATTACGGATAACATGCTTTGCGCTGGCTACACTGAGGGCGGCAAAGACTCTTGCCAGGGTGATAGCGGTGGGCCGCTACATGTAAGCCATAATGGAACGAAGACTTATCAGCTGGCTGGCATTGTATCATGGGGTGAGGGTTGTGCACGTCCGAATGCACCCGGCGTTTATACGCGCGTCACGCAGTACTTGGATTGGATTGAGCAGCGCACACGTGATGCTTGTAAATGTCAGGCAACAGCGGGAGGTGGGGGTGCTGGCGCGGGCGCGGGTGAAGGCAGTAGTAGTACTGAAAGTGTAGGAGCACAGACTAGTAGCACGGTAGGTAGTAATCAAAGCGGAGCAGACGTCACTAGCACTGCTGCTTCTGTAGCAAACAAAAATTGTAACGCTGTAGAAAGTTATGGAATATGAGAAGATGAGCAAAACTTTGAAGAAAAACGTTTTTAGGTTGTTAGTTGAAAGTATAAAACTGTAATATGTAGTAGAGTTGCTGAAGCGGTATGAGTTCAGTTAAGAAAAAGCGGAGCTAATCAAAGCGTGAGAGACATGAGTTAGAAACATTTGAGATCATAAGTTTAAACAAAAAAAAATCATATCTCAAAGAATTTTGAAAAAAGGTAGAGAAAACAAAGGATTTGCTAAGGTGTCAGCCTTCGAAAGTAGGTAATGAAATATAGTAGGTAATTAAGAGTCAGTGGGACTAAGAAGGATCGGGATCGGAATCGGGAAAAATAAATACGAAAAGGAGAACTAATAAGGGTATGGATTGGGGTGGACCTTAAAAATTTTGAAATCATGGGGCATCGCCTAATTTCCTTTTCCTACAAAATGAAGACATGGACGAAAATATCAAACTTTTTGAAAAAATTTAATTTTTTTAAATCGCAAAAATTACACGAACATTTTAATATGTCAAATTTATAAAATTTTTCGTCAACCTATTTTTGAGATTTAAAAAAGTTTAAATTTTTTTTAACCATGGTAGCGACCCCTAAAAATATTTGTGAAAATTTAAAATTTTCTTAAATGTCTTTTTGTATGTACGTAGAACAAAATAAGGGGATGCCTGATACAAAATAGATGTTGATAATTTAAGGAGCACCCTAGTATGGATAATTTATAGTTTTTCGCTTTATAATGAATATTGAATTTTGTGCTTCTTGAATGAAATAATAGAGAGAATAAAAGCAAGCTTATTAAGCGCACCTATAAGAAATATGGGCGAATTATTTTAGATATTTTATAAGTAATTTATTTATGCATTTATATTTTTGAATATGGACACAATTAAATAAAATAATACTCGTTTTTGAAAAAAAAAACTAGTCTGTGTTAAGCCTCACTCTAGAAAAAAGAAGCCAGCAAACACACAAATTTTAGGCTGCGCTGTAAGTATAGCAAACAGGGGTGATACCCTCACTTACAAGGGTCCGAGACTGGCAGCAATATACAGATCTCTGATTGCATGAAGGTGGTAGAACAATTATCCTTTTCTGATCAAAGCTACATAAGCTCTAGAGTATATTACAGCTTCCTAAAGAATGTCAAGGTCTTTTGAGATGAGTAAGAATTAGTATCCCACGAAGCAATCCTAGTGAAACCTCTAAGAAAAACTTGATTTCCAAGATGTCGCAATTTTATCACAGAGCCTGTTTACGTTCAACGCCTAGATACATATATGAGTCTACTTGGAGAAATAAGCACTTTGACGAGCATACAGAAAAGGCCAAGAATTTCTTAAAGCTAAGCCAAAAGGATCGAAGGGAATACATTTTAATGAACAATGAAAGTCGTCTCGACAGTTTATAGGTGTACTTCCGTGGTAACATTTGACGTACCCTGGTCCGTAAGTAGTTTGGTAAATAGACCGAAGGTAGCAAGGAATCTCCAGATTGCTAGCAGAAATCCATTTTCAACGCTTTTTTCTGCTGTAAGTTTTAATTACTTGTTCATCTCCCAGTCCTAGCGATTTAATTCAATATCATATTCCATCCTGATTTCCTTTTGAAAATTCTGAGCCTATGGACGGCAGCTAAGCCATGCGCATTTTCCGCATCTTAAGCGCATAATCACTTTGTCTTTTTTTTTTCTTTCACCAAAGCCTCATTCCCTCAACAGCATAGCTGATCACACCTTAGATGGAACAATTTATGAACGAACTCAAGCGGGCGCGTCTCCAAGGTGACGATCGATTTATGGCAGCTGTCAATCGACACTACGATTGCAACATTGCACACCATGCGCGCATACATTCATGCAACAGCGCAAAGCCGATTAGCTTTTGGCTTAAGTTTTTGATTTGATTTTCGATTATATAGTGAAGAAATTACATTTCGGATTACAAATACCAGGTATTAAAATTTGAGATTTTCTATTTCGAGTCTAACAGCGTTGGCATTGGAGGCTGTCAAATCGATTTTACTGATTGCGTTGGCGTATGTGGGTGCAAGAAAATGAAAGAAATTTTATGAAGGAAATTTACAATAAACTAAGAGTAAGTAGCATAGCTGCAGTTGTGGCAAAAGCAGCTGTATGCAGTAAGAAATTAGACGCTGCTAGTCAATCGGCAGCATGTCGAGCTGCAATGCGATCGCTGCACGGTTGTAAATTGTGTACTTAAATAGCCTTTTGACGCAGTCAAGTATTGTGGGTGGCATTTTTATGGAATTTTATTGGGAGTACTTTTGTTTTTGGTAAGATGGCAATTCTTTTGATAGTAGACTTTAATACTTTGTATTGCTTGGGGTATTTAAATTTAAATTAGTTTCTTATTTGCTGGCACTTTTATGTGTGAAATTTTTGAAGCTAGTTTGTTTATACTCAGACCTTGTTTTTATAAAATAGTCTCCTTAGTATTAGTTCACAGATTATACTCGCTCTTGGGTTTATATGAGTTAGACTTTCGGAGAGACTGCTCTTTTCTATGGTGTATAGTAGATGCCATCACATCCAATCATTCTCAGAGACCTCATCTATATATGCAATTATAGTTCAGCCGCCAAAGTCTTGGAAAATTTTCCGGAAACAAAATTTGAAGTGAACTTAAAGTAGCAACATAATTAAATACATATATGCCAGCTGCTTTGTTTTGAAAACCTCGCATACTGGTCTAAGGAAGATTAAAGCTTTTGGATCCATTTGATTGCTCAAAAAAGTGCCACTGCGTGAATAATTTTGCAGCATAATCTAACAAAAAAAAACTTCAAACAACTACAGATCTTACTTTTGCAGCATTTAAACGACTTAAAGTTAAAAGGAAAAACACAAAATAAATTTCGAAAAAAAAATCCACAATTACATTCAAACACACCCTAATTAACGTAAGCACCAATTCAAAAAAGATTTCAAAAACAGCTGAAACTCGAACAAAAGATGTCCAACTTGCGAGAAGCTTAGGTGCTAACAGATCCAGTTGCGCCCACGCGTCGTCTATAATCCTCGGCAATCAAGTGCGTGCCTGTGAGTGTAGCAAGTTGTACTCGTATGAGCACTACGGCATTAAGTTGGTAGCAAGCGCTGACAGACAACAGCTGTGCGCGGCAGCAAGTCAATAAAGAAGAAGCAGAACACGAAGTAGACGGAACGAAATGAAGGCGGGTACCAGAGCATGCACAACACCAAGAGGGAGTTGACAATGCAACGCTGGCAGACAGACAGGCTACGATGCAGACGGACAGACGTACATACATACAAACTATTTACGCTACTTTACGACTGATGCAACAACGCACTGTTGAAGGTAAAGACAATCGACAATTCGACAGTTGCAGCCAATAAACATAAACAACATCAAAGTGCTGAGGAGTACAACAAACACAATGCACAACGATGTATAACAGTGGCAACAACAACAAAAAAAAGCATTGCAGTGTCAACCACTGCTGTCGTTGTTCCTCGTTGGTAATCAACGCAGCGCTCATCGTCGGTCCTCAGTCGGCAATCGTTTTGATAATTGGACATTTTTATCCGCTTTTATTGTTTATTTTTACTTTTTTTTGGGCGCAAGCATTTATTGGCATGCAGTTTATTGGCGCGCTTAGAGTGTTGTTGTTTTTGTCGCGGTTAAAGTATTATTATGGCAGGCAACCTTAAGGTAGTCTCTACCATTAAATAGACCACTTAACAAACGAAATTACGCCCTAATTTTGTCGTTGGAGCGGAAAGCGCAAAATACTTCCGCGGCTACTGAAGGCAGGCCGATAATAAGAGCGAGTGGGTATGAAAGAGAGGGAAAGATAGGGACGTCACTGTTGGCTTATTCATACACATGTGGAGGTAGCATGTTTATGTGAAGGCTTATGCGTGGGCTGTCGTCTACGTTGAAAGTTTTTATACCCAATGTTCTGCTAAGGCATACCCTTCTCAGCGTTGGCCCCCGTGAAGCGAAGAAGGGGTTTAATGCTGTTACGATGAGCTTCATCATGACAGTACAAACTATTATCGACAATGTCCAACCTTCAAGCAGGAATTACTACGAACACCATATAGCTTTTAATCAAGCCAAGGTTTTGAGTTAACCGTGCCAAGTTTTAGTCGCAATGAGTCTCACATCGATATCCGGGCTACGAAGCGTCGGTTCGATGAAGTGACCTTTCCGAACAAGCCGGGTCTGCAGAATACCCTAACACAATTTGAGGAAACTTTAATTGAAAACATCAACACAAAAAAATACAGGAACAACATTACGTCGCTGCGCAACCGAGAAAATTTAACCTTCGACTAGCGAGGAGATGACTATTGCCTTAAGAAATTCCGCCTTTGAAAGGAAGAAGCCTACAAACGTTGTTTAGAAAAGCGCAATGCGGTACATGTGCTAGACGGGTAAAGGTACGAGAAGTTCCAAAAAGCCCAGAAGCGAAACCGTTTTCAGAATGTGGACGAGCTGATCTCCCAAATAAAATTATGAGGCCCGATGCCGACAGTTGCTTCTTGGAGCCGTCTTTAAGAACTAGAATTGCTGGATCCTGCAGGCAGGGCTGCAAAATACGAAAGTGAAGGTTTTACTCGGTAATGCAAGGCCGATAGAAGAAAAGGCAGAGGTCGTTGGAGATGCTGAATTTCGCTTGTGATTTCATGAATCCTGACCAATCTCAAGTCCTTGAAATGTGCTACAGAAAACCTTAAAGTATATAAATAATAGACGGATTCCTTAGCAGAGTAAGAAACGAGTTATTCAAGTGGCTTAGCTGAGTGAACTCTTCCATAAGCGCAGCGTGAGTATTCTCATCAAGTATATATTTATTCATGAAATAATGCTTTGTGTCTCAATTAACAATCATCTGTCTTGCCTGGTTTCCCAGTTGAAGGGATGTCGAAAG